AGTAATAATAATAATAATAATTTGTACTAGTAATAGTAGTAGGATTTTTATTGTTATTTTAAATAATACTTTATTTTTTTTGTTATAATTTAATTATTTAATTTTATTGTATAAAATATATGCTACACTCTCAGTCATTCCTGTCCAAAAAGGTTTTAATTTTTCATAAATTAGCCAGGAAAAAAAAAAAAAAAACAGTTGATAATTTCTTATAGAGGTTGCATGAGGAAAAACACAGATAATTGACAACCATAAAGTTTCCAAAAAATGTTGTCTTTTACAACTTTAAGTCAATTAGTGTCCAAATATGTGACCCTGGACAACAAAACCAGTAATAAGGGTCCATTTTTCGAAATTGAGATGTATACATAATCTGAAAGCTGAATAAATAAGCTTTTCATTGATGTATGGTTTGTTAGGATTGGACAATATTTGGCCGAGATACAACTATTTGAAAATCTGGAATCTGAGGGTGCAAAAAAATCAAAATATTGAGAAAATCGACTTTAAAGTTGTCCAAATGAAGTTCTTAGCAATGCATATTACTAATCAAAAATTAAGTTTTAATATATTTACAGTAGGAAATTTACAAAATATCTTCATGGAACATGATCTTTATTTAATATCCTAATGATTTTTGGCATAAAAGAAAAATCTATAATTTTGACCCATACAATGTATTTTTGGCTATCGCTACAAATATACCCCAGCGACTTAAGACTGGTTTTGTGCTCCAGGGTCACATATGTTTTGGGGTCCTCTCACTGTACATCACTTTAATAAAATGATATTTTCAGACGCAATATGTAGTTTTTATTCACAACTCTTGTTCCTCAACAGGTCGCGGTCTTCCTGTCTATGTGGTGGTGATCCTGGTTGTGGGCGGTCTTCTGTTGTTCCTAAACCCTCTGAGCTGCTTTCTATTCGCCAAATGGAAAAGAGGGCGGAGCCTGAAAGGTAATTGACAGCGAAACTCCTCAGCGTGTCGCCATTTCTACTTTGTGCTGTTAGACAGCGTGTCCTAGACTGGTCGACTCGCAGCGACAGCACGCAGTGCAAAAGGGATGAACTGTCTGAATCTTAATATGATTTCTCACTTTTAAATCCATCTATCTTTTTCTCTTATCTCACTCGCTACCTCCTCAGCCATCTGCATCCTCCCGCCATCTCTCCTTTCCCCGGCAGCTGTCACTTCCTCCCTTCGTCTCTCCCCTTATCGCGGCCCTTTCCCTTTCGTCCTCTGTCATTTTCTCTCTCACTCACCCCATCTGTCTTTTGTTCGCCTCGCCTCTTCCTTCAAACTGTCAGGTGTCTTGTCTCTCCCCTCTCATCTCTCGCTCCCTTTTTTTTTCTTTTCCTCTCTATTCATGAACCTGTCGTCCTCTCCTCTCGCTTTCAATTTGAACGGCCCTTTTTATCAGTTTATTAAAGCTACTGTCACAACACAATTTGTAAGGAGAAACCAATAATTGAAATAACGTATGATGAATGTTTCTTGTGTTCTGTCTTTCTGACGTTCTGGCTTTCCTTTTATTTCCGTCATGCTCTCCTTCCTGTGACCTTTGCCCTGTAACATGCCACTCTCATTTGGTTTTTTGCACTCAGAGGACACCAGGAGCATTTCACAGGAGACGAAAAGCGAGGAGCAGAGGTGAGTCACTTTAGCGCTCTGAATCAAAGCTCTGTTGCAGGTATGCCCACTTAGTCCTGACCCTGATGCATGGCTAAACCCTGAAAAAATAAGTTTGCTGATAAAAATGTGAGTACAAAACTTGTTGCAATGATGCTAGGTTTGCTAGGTGGTTATTTACTGCCGTAAAGTTTAATACTTGGATATAGAGATTTGAACAAACTCCTATGCCTTAATATGAGCAGTAGTAATGGTGATGTGAGCCTTAGCGAGCCGCACTAACAAGCAAGACCAGCATGCTATGATGGCTAAAAGGCTTTCTGAACAACTTCTGCCTGTCTGGATGAAGCCTTTCAGCTTCCAGTAGCTATAGAAGCCCTCAAGACAGCATATAGAAACGCTGCTTAGCTTGCATCTCCATAAATAGACTCCAGAGAAGTACAGAGTGTTCATTTCACCAGCCTACAGGTGAGTCATGAGCCCAAAAAAAAGCAGAATAGACAAAAGTCTTGGAGTTTTAATAGGATAATAAAAAAGAGAAGTCTGTCTATGTAATTTAATTTTTTTTAACTTAACATAAAATGGCATAGGCAGAGCATTTTACTTCTGTAAAATGACCCAGAATATTCAATGAGAAAAAAAATGAAAGAAAGATAAATATTTAGATTTTTTAATTTATTAAATGTGTGTATTATTAGTTTATTGATGTGTGTAAACATTAAGACATAAAAGAGTGATTTGTGTTAAGGCATAAAATCTAATATGCAATAGTGAGTCATTCATTATGTATATAATATATATATAGTATATTTTAAGTTATTTATAAATGTCATTTAATAATATTAAATTAAAAGCAAATATGAAAGGAATATAACATTATTTATAATTATTAAGAAATATATATTTATTTTATTAATACATAATTTAGTTGTGTAAATATACAGTATATAATATTATATAACATATGTACAGTGGATGATGCATTAGTGTTATTGTGTATATATATAGTATAGATTTCAATAGATGTTCTGGGCATCTGTATTTATTGAGTGCTCCTCAGAAATTCCTCCCTGCTTGCAGAAGTTCTCTTTCTTGTCATGTTTTCTAACTTGCAGGTGTGTTGTGTTGTGAATGTGATGTTTCTGTGTTTCTGCAGGTCCACGGCGAGCGGCTCAACCCGCTATGCGAGCAGAGAGCTTATCAACGCCTCGGCACAGCGAACACTCCTCATTGACAGCAGCTCCGAGCCTGACAGCAGCGTCTATGAGAGCTACGGACGGGTATATCACTGGACACTCACACAGTCTGTTCAGGCTTTCCCATGATTTTTTTTTTAAACATTCAGATAAAAATACATGAAAGGAATGTTTCCTGTCTTGTATTGAAAAAGATCACACCTGAATTCACAAACAATGTGTATTACTACTGAAGATGTCCTTTTTTCCTCAATAGCAGGAGAGTTCTCATTATTACTACCCAAGTGAGGCCTACAGTCCTGCCCTGTTTACTCACCCTGAAGGGCCTGAGGATCATGGTGAGACTAAATCTGATGTTCTTATACACTTAAGAGGGATTTTAAAGCTTAACTTTTAATTTTTTAGATTAAAATTTTGCTTCTGTCAAATTCTGATCCCTTTCCCAAATAACTTTCTGCCCATTTAGCAAAAAAAGTTAGTGTTTGTGGCCCATCGCTAAACAGTTTCTAGGGTGTTATGAGTGTTTGTGGGTCCTAAGAGACTGTATGGTTCAGGTCTGTCTTTCATTGGAAGCTTACAAACAAATCGCTCATCCACGCGACTTATTTTTTATACTTAGTTATGATATGAACAAATCTGAGTATGAGTGAGAATAATAGTGATCTTTGCCTTCTTGTTTTTATGCAAAGTGAGTATTCAATATCTGAGCAAACCCCTCCAGTGACAGTTTATGGATTAGTTAACAATTAAAACGTTTTTGCAGTTTGAAAGCACGTTGAAGTATTCATGTGCTGTGTTTCCTTGCCTCCAGATGGCAGACACGGCACAAACCCTCTCACTCACGACTATGAGGAGGTGAGAGGCTGGGGGACGTCCGAGGACCTGCAGGGCTACTCACTGCTGCCCCCTGCTGCCCAATTTCATCCTCGAGCACCAGTATCCACCTACTATGAGGTGGGTGAGAACCAACAACCAGTTGGATCTATCTAGAAAGATGCAGTTAATACATTTTATATCTAAGTTCCCAGGTCTAAATCAAAGAATGCATGATATACACAAGCTCCCTTATGATTGCAGAGTTATGGTATTGCAGCATAGTAGTGCAATAGTTTTTATGTGACAGACTCTCAGTTTGCAGTTTCGCTTTTGTTTATAGTTGTCGTTTATTCCACTGTTCTCCACAGGGAAGGGCATACGGTAAAGCTGATGTGGACGTAACAGCAGGAGTTTATGATTCTATGGTGTACAGACGCAGAAGAGACACAGACTTGCCGTTTGAGCTCAGAGGGGAGCTGGTTTAATAATAGTGAGGCTGGTGTGTGCTGTGGTCTAGACCAGCTCTACCCTGAGACCAGTTTGGGTTTATGAGTTGAAAAAACATTTCCTCTTTTACTTTTCCTATTATTTGTCTAAAATATGTTGACTGTTCTCTTTTTGCAGTTTAAGTTCACCATAAATGTTTAAATTGTTAAATAAATATTACATTTGTTTTTAATTTGGTCTAAATCAGAAGCTTTTTTGAGATCGGCTGCTGCCATGCTCCCTAGTATGCTCCCTTTTCAGCGCATTGGACAGTCTCGTATGCTCCCCAAGGCTGCATTTATTTGATCAAAAATACAGTAAAAATAGGAATATTGTGAAATATTATTATCACGTAAAATAACTGTTTTCTATTTGAATATATCTTAAAATTTAATTTATTCCTGTGATGCAAAGCTGAATTTTCAGTATCCAGTCTTCAGTGACACTGATGATTAGTAATGTTGAAAACAGTTGTCCTGCTTCAAATGTGTGTGTGTGTGTGTGTTGTGTGTGTGTGTGTGTGTCTTGAGCCCTGTAGTGTTTGTCTCTGCATATTAGACTGTATATTGAGGAAAGGATTTTTACATTGGCACACGTGACCTTTAAAAATGAGTCCAGAGTCCATTTTTGCATGTTAATATCAGTTACAATAACAATGTGCAATTACAAGCTACTCTAGTAATCGCATATTAGGTCATTCATTTGTATTACTGAGGACTTAATTATATAATTAGTTACCGTGTAAAGAGTGACCTTTTCTGAGGCCTAGTTTAGAATTTATGAAGTATTCTGAACTACCTTCAGAAAAAAAAAAAAAAAATGATAATAATAATCTGATAAGAACACAAGTGTTATGTAATGCAGCTTTTAAGCGATGAGGTACTACCAAACGTGCTATTATTAATCCTGAGCTTAATGGTTTTTCCTGATGGCATGCATTCCTCTTGGGATTATTGGAAAGCGTGGAGCTTTGTCCCAAGAGGAAGTCTTTGAATGTGAGAACGGGGATAAAAGTCTTGAATCCTTGAGTCTGCGGAAGCCAACAACAATAACAACAACAACAACAACAGCAGCCTTCAATGACACACATTTGTGTTGTTGTCATGTGTATGTTATCACAAGGAGTTAAACAGGGAATCTAGGCAAAGGCTACATTTTTTATTGGCCTGAGACAAGATTGCTGGCTTGGGAAAAAGAAAGGCTGGCTTAAAAATATTCATCCCCAAAAAAATGAAGATTCTCTCAACATCCACTCTCATGTCATTCCAAATGCATATATATATGTATTTTTTTCTGTGAGAATCTAGATGTTTTGGAGAATGTTCATGCTGTCCTTTTCCAGAAAAGAATGGCTGTCAAGCTCCAAAGACCTAAAATATAGCATACACTCTAAATATAATTCAGTTAATTTGTAAATATCACAATAATAAATAACTAATCTACCTTAATAATATCTATGAATATCACACAGGTGATTGAGTTGGATATACCAAAGTAAATGTCTAAAAATACCATCAGTTAATTTTGTCTAAAATTTATATCTGTTATTTTCTCTATATTATTATTTCGTTTTTTCACCAAAAATAAATTAGTATTTAACTAACCAATTATATTTTTAAGATATACTTACTTAAGATAATGTTCTTCTTAAATTTCAATTAAAATATTTGCAAATGGAGAAATTATACTGATCAGTTTCAAGATCTTCAATTATTACTCATTTCATATCAATATTTTTAACAGCAACTTAAGAAATTGAGTATGTTGGACACGATTAACAATCACGCTCAAAGAGAGGGAAATTTGATTTTCCCAGCATGCTTTGATACAGACTGTATAAGGAACGTAAATGTTGAAATAAAGTGTTATTTTCTGTGTTTTTGCACAAAATATAGGAGATCTGTTCATGTTTAATGTTCTATAATACTGGAATTTATAGGGGGGTTTGTTGCCATTTTGGAGACCAAGAGTAGACCAGAAAAATTGAGTACATCATACTTTAAATCATTTTTATTGTGCTTTTTATACAGCCCATGGTCTGTCATCTACCTTTGTTTTATGGAAAAGAGCAGTTTTTAGATTATGCAAAACATCTCCTTTGTGTTCCACTGAAAAAAGTAAGTTATTGAGTTTAGAAGGGCATCAAGGTGACAAATTGCCAACTTTTATCAATTGGCTGAACTGTTCTTTTAAAATTCATCTTGTTTCTTCTGACTACTTTTCTGGATGCTTTCAATGAAGCTGGCTTATCAAGAGTGGATGGCAAATTACAGGTTGGGAAGGATGCCAGTGATTCTACACTGCCGTAACAGCTTGTTTAATTGTAAATCAAAGGTAGTCTATAACCCATTGTCTTCTGCGGCTGTAATTTCTGATATTTTATTGCTGTCGTTTGGCATGCAAACTAACACTGCAATCTCCCTCCCTTTTCCTCCGCTGCTTCTTAATGCTGAGATTCGCCTTCATGTCCGTGGAGCCCTGGCGCCACCGTGGCAGGGAGCAGACATCCAACGCTGCTAATGTGAAAACAACTGTTCAGACACCTGGCTTGAGGTGGGCCAATCTCATCTCCTCTCTTCTGTGTACCCACAATCCACTTGCCCTATTGACCGGTTCAGCAGCCATGTCAAACACCTCAAGCAGCCACGACGTCTGGAGATGAGAAGTTATTTCTGTTGCCATAGTTACCACACCCTTTTGGACACATTTAAAGTTGTCTACCTTGCAGGTGCCTTATGGTGAAAGAAATACCTGCATTTTTAGTATTTCCATGATATGTTAGAACATCTGGGCATCTTGTTTTTTCTAAAAGATTATGGCTTTGATTGGAATGTAATGATCAGTGATTATGTTTAGCTTCCAGGAGATGTGATCTCACCTGGATACATGTTTCTTTTTCTCGCCTTATCTTCTAATTCTTCTGTAGTATTTCTTAGAGGCATCAAACTCAGTCAGATAAACAAACAACACTTGCAACTGCTTCAGCAAAGTTATGCAAATGAATGATGAGGTGTTAATTATATCAGATAGTACAGCAGGATATTAAAAGATATGTTATTACGTTGTATATTTTTATTGTCTAATTTTCTGCTTAGTATTCATCACGCTGTTTCGCCATGTATACAACTGTTCTGTACAGTGGAAGCCAGTGTATCAGGGGTTTTCAACCTTTTAGGACATGTGCCCCGCTTTGCACAGTCAAAACTAATCAAGTCCACCAGGTTTCTGATGCAGGACAGGATCATATAGTCCCATATTCAGTTTGGATTTTGATTAAATTATTTAACTCAGTGATTATGTTTAGCTTCCAGGAGATGTGATCTCACCTGGATAAATGTTTCTTTTTCTCGCCTTATCTTCTAATTCTTCTGTAGTATTTCTTAGAGGCATCAAACTCAGTCAGATAAACAAACAACACTTGCAACTGCTTCAGCACAGTTATGCAAATGAATGATGAGGTGTTAATTATATCAGATAGTACAGCAGGATATTAAAAGATATGTTATTACGTTGTATATTTTTATTGTCTAATTTTCTGCTTAGTATTCATCACGCTGTTTCGCCATGTATACAGCTGTTCTGTACAGTGGAAGCCAGTGTATCAGGCGTTTTCAACATTTTAGGACATGTGCCCCGCTTTGCACAGTCAAAACTAATCAAGTCCACCAGGTTTCTGATGCAGGACAGGATCATATAGTCCCATATTCAGTTTGGATTTTGATTAAATTATTTAACTGTGCTCTGATTTTAGAGTTACATTGATATCATCTAAGCCTTCGCGTCATCTCCCTCCACAGGTGTAATTCACATTGTGAGAGTCGAGTCACTCTCCCACTCTTTATGTGTAACTTGTATTTAGGCGACTGGCATTGTGATCACTTGAATATACAGCTCTACGTTCAAAATCGTATCCCTTATCGTGCTAAAAACCCGTCATTCATGAAGCATTTTTTAATGTTCTAAAAACGTTATGCGATAATTAAGGGAACATTTCATTTAATCATTTTGAAAACATTATGGAAATGTTAAATTTGAATATTCTCACACAACAGTAACATTTAAAAATGAAAATAGATAAATAAATATTTTGATGAGCATCCAACTGAAACATTTCAGAAAAAAGTTCCATGAACGATGTATAAATAAATAAATATATATATATATATATATATATATATATATGCATCTCTTGCTTGTGTTGCTTAAATTATACACTATGTTCTTCTTGTATTGTAATCATTGAGGGATTACATTGCGTTTTTAAAATCAATGCTTTTCTGAGCTCATCAGGTACAAATTATAAGAAGTATTTCTTATTTATGAGATATGACTCTTTATAAGTAAACAACAGCACAGCAACAGATAAGGGTGCTGCAGTAGATGAGATGATAGCAGTCTGTACAAAAAAAGCGGAACCAATCCCGTACTTCCCCTCAGGGCCCTACTCTATAGGCCTAGTATATTCGCTTATGGGTTGAGAAATTCATTTTGTACATCATGATGTAAGCTTTTAATTTCAACGCATTTTAAGCATTTTGGTTTAACAACTAATTTAACTGTTCAGGGACATTAAGCAGTGAGGCAAAATACATTTTGGCAAATGCGCGCACTAAGACGGTTTCTGATACGTGCGGGGTGCACTTGCCTCGTACAGTGCCTGACTAAACTAGTTATTTTTCGCGCCTTGTGTTTAAACGTTCTAATACACATAGTTATGCGTCAAAATGCCTGTCTCCTCATCAACGCAGTCATTTGTGTCTTAAATGAACGTTAATAGTTAAAGATAAAGCATGTGCACTAGTTGGCTATTATGAGATCCTGGCATTATATGATGAGATTTTAAAGGGATATAGTTCACCCAAATATTTAAATATTATAGTATCAGTTTACACACAATACAAATACACAATACACACAATATCATTTACTCAGTTTCAAGTTGTTCTGAACCTGTATGAATTTCTTTGTTCTCCTCAACATAAAAGAAGATATTTTGAAT